ATTTAGGTGTGTTTATTTTACGGGATGGGGTTGCTTGCCTCCTGCTCAACCTTTCCTCTTCACCAGCATTATTTCTGGCTTAGCGAGGTAAAGGGATGTGCCGGCCGGGGATCGAACCCCGGACCATGTGCATGGTCGACGAACGTCCTAACCTCTATGCCACCGACGCACAAGAGTAATCATTGCTTAGTAATAATTATCCCGAACTTATGTGTATGACGAGGTCTGTTCTTCAGCAGAGAGACATTTTCAAAAACACAATGTTTCATCAAACTAAACTCGGCCCCGGTGAGACACAGAATCTTAGAAACAGCAAGAAAATCACCGAAATTTCAAAAACATAGGACGCTGAAGAGCGCCTACCCAAAGGAGGTATATCGGAGTCTAAAGCATAACATTGTGAGAAGATCTGACTCTATATTGGAGAGGATGGAAACCTTGATTTACATGGCTCACCTGTGAATTTCTTGCATTCCTACTACTTACTACTGTTTAACTTTATAAGTAGCATGAAGCTATATTTGTGACATCGTGACCATAGTTGTTCATTTCTACTGGAATGATTGTCACTTATTGTACTAACACTCTATTTCATCTGGCCTAGTTATCTTCAAGTGGTTGGATGGTATTCGCTGTACATTTCCCTCTTTGTTAAAAATTTCATTTTTATTTGCTTGATGTATCATACAGTGGAACATTATTAACCACCGGATGACGCTTCGAACACAATGAATCGTTCCCAAACGATATTAGGTGAGATTCTTGTAGATTGTTATAAATACTGAGTGAAAACCTATTGGTTACAGTGCACAGTAAACTCGCGATTTTACAGACGGAGATAGAAAATCTCACCTCTGGAAATTCCCCAGTTTGTGATGCCTCTCGGTCATGTGCTCTGCAACAGTGTGCAGAAGCTGTGGCTACTGAACCTTTCGTGTAAAGCTGTAAGCGGAGGCTGGATATTCACAAAGAAACTCAGGGGTTGCGTCCAGTTCATATTACCTCAAAAGTCACACACTACGCAACTAATGGGTTCACCTCTCAACTCATCTTTTCCACTTCTCATTCTCCCTTGTCTCACTCTTCTGACGACTCTATCGATTCATTAACTTATTTTGTTTTACATTTTAAAAGTATTTTTATTTATTTTATTTCAGTTGTTACATTTCATCATCCATCTCTTTTTATGTGGCACTTTTTAAGTATACACGATACACACCTAATACTGTAAGCCACATATAGCCAATTCGCGATCCACACATCTTGAAGTTAACAAAACCACGCCAGTTGAGTGGGACATACTAGGTAGAAGTTTACAAAAGACTAAGAAACTCTATTGGGTAATCCGAGAAGCGAGCATAAAAGAATCAACTTAGTTTCTACCAGCTCGTAAAAAATTATTGCGCAATTTCTCTGTGTGTCGACTGAATTAATCACTATCCACAAAAGTCTCCAAACTTCTTCGAATGAAAAGATGAGACTTCAATGCATCCTAGAGAATTCTCATGTCTAAATGACAGATTTGTGATTCCTCAGACATTAATATCTGCTGTATTAGGCGATCTAAATTCTGCTGATGACAGATATTGCATAGAGATGGCTGTGCATTCATAAAAACTGCAGTCCTCTTTACTTAAACTCATGCTTAGCTCTAGTAATTTTGGATTCCTATTCTAGGTAGCTAGTAGTGCTTTTCACCAATACTTGACATCTGGTTTACAGTCAGCTTGTGTCTCTACCCATCAGAAATTCATTCAAACTCAGGATACTTGGCAAGATATAATGTTAATCTAGAGAAACGACCTGTTCTCATGTGTCCACATCATGAAGTCTGTTGATCGATACCAAATATGAAAATAACCTTGTACACTGGAGTCTCTCCAGTACTGATACATCCTGTGTAATGTCCTCGGATGGAATGGCTGGTGACATTACTAGATTTTAGTATGATTCTGATACCAATATTACATGTAACACATATATCAGGCACTAAAATGAAAATTGTGAAATAGGGTTCTTTGAAAAGTGATACGTCTAATTCAAAAGTTGGTCCAATCTTCACTTGAGCAATGTCGCGATATAACTTGGCTGCGAAACTAAAATAGTTCAACCTTCGGTTCTTCAGTTCTGGCGTTTAGACAAAACAATGTTGTTTTCTCAGGCTACTGTTATTCTCTAGATCGCTATTCAGAGGTTATCACGAATAATGCTAGCTTCAGTCCACATTTTCCAGTCATTCGCAAGTCGGATTGTCTTTGCGCCACACATTTTCACCTTTGTTTTGACCAGAGAAGCCCGCCGTGTGGCAACACAATTTCACCCCTTAATCCAACACCTCACACCAGCATCCTTCTGTTCACGGGAACCTGGGATCGTGGATATTAGGAAGTTGATTCATTCTACCTGAAGGTATGTGGACGCCACAACTGTACTTAATCCGGCAGTCAAGTGTAATGGCAGCCCACTTCCTGAGTGGATGATATCTTCACCGTTCTGAACTGTCGGAACTGTTTTGCTGAACTTGCTTTACCTGACACTTTGTTTTCAATTGTCACCTAGATATTACTCAATAATGTGCTATTTGGCACTTTTTGCTCAATATAAATAAGATTTCGACGATAAGGAGAAGTTTCCTTGGTGAATTTTCTCTTATTTCCTTCATGAGAAGCAACTCTTGGATGCGGATTTATCAAACAAGAAACAAACATAATTTTTGAGACCTGAAACTATAACTAATCGCATTTATTGATATACGTGTAAAACTTGTTCACTGTGGAATCGCATTTATATTTTTTTTGGTACAGCTATCCTTGGAAAGAAATCCTGCACGAATTGTGTATGTTATCGCCTCCAAATATCAAAAATAAGAAGCCAGTTCCAGTTACCTACTGAATGCTGAAAATACTCGTCGGGTAGATCCTAGTAGGCCGCTGAAATTAATTTTTGTTGTTTCTAGGTAACAGATAAGTCTGAAAATATTTCATATGAAAACTGAATACATTTTCAAAATTTGACAGTATCTATCGCAGCCTAGCTGGTGAAGGACGGGCCAAGTATTCATTACATGAGCATATAATTTACCTTTCAAATGAAACTCGCCGCGTTTTCGTCTCAGCATTCTTGTATAAGTAGAACAGAGACGGTAAACTACGACTTGAATTTTCTCAAGTAGGGCATAGAAGAATGCTGTATTCATGTTGGATGTTGCAGTTGGCTGTTTTAGGAGTGTTATCTCAACTTCTCACACAGCTGGAATATCTGTTTGCGTGAAAATGCCTCAGGATATCTCATATCCCTACCTGTATTGATGAAGACACTAGCTCCAGTTCTACCACAATCTAGATCACCATTTCACCTTCAGTCATCGTCCATTATAACAATGGTTGGATGTCAATACAAGTGAGTGAAGATATTCTGACTGAAAATGAAGCAGAATTACGTATTAATTGTCAGTTGACATGTTTCTGAGTTTGAATGCAGTGCTAGGAGATGATTTTCAGCCAAACAATTTGTTGTAACATTTATGAGCAGGTAGTGAATTCAGGATCTGTTACCCGAAGGCAGAAATTATAAATTTTTATATGGCACATGTACGAAAATAGTCTCATAACGATTTGATGAAGCTGTTGTCTGTTATCCTCACTAACCACTTAGCAGGTACACACATTTACAGCTCTATCAAATGTCCCTTAGTAGTGTTGAACAAAGTGAGACAGTCTAAAGTATATACAACAGAGTGAGATGACGCTGAGTAGCTTCACACCAACAGACAAATCATTTATCAAAGAATAACTGACTTTGGCAAATACATTTCAGTCGTGTTTTCCAAGGATGCCCTGCTGAGCTGAGACGATGTGACAGCAAACTCAGGAAGTACTTGCTTCAAAAGTTGATATATTGTACTGTGTGATAGAAGTAATTCAAATTTAAATTCTCAATAGAAAACAGTACAAAAAAAGTGAATCACAATCTTACGACACACATTTTTCAGTTTGACTGTCTTTTCAAAATTCAGTATTGACAGAAACCTGAACCACTGAGAGGATGAACTGGTACGTTGTTCCTAATTTATGCCGCAAAATAAATTTAAATAAAAGATACAGTATAAGCTGTGTTGTTTCACACTTCAAATAACTGGTGTAAGCAATCAGCAGAGAGTAGAACAGTCAGAGACAAAGTAAGCCATAACACGTTGTGAGTGGGTTTTTAATACAGCAAGCACAATACAACTACTTGTCGTTGTAGTAAATTGGTTGTCTTTCATCGAGGCTGATGAATTCGTTGACCACTTCACAGAGTCATCATCGTTAAATTCATCAGTAGCCGTAGGAGCATCAGTCGCAGACAACAATCCCCATCAGCACAGCAGGTGTAATTAGACATCACCAGTGAAGATCTCTCAGATGTTGTACACTTCACAGGTGTTAGAACTGCCTAGTCAACATCCGATTGTTGTATGCTGCTCAAACAGGTCATTGAATTTTACACTCCGCTGAATGACACCACAAGTGGTGAAGTATAGACACCTAAGTTGTCCACATTTTCTCTTTCAGCTGAGGCTAAATGAAATAAAAGTCAAATCAGATCCACCACTAGAAGCGAAACTAGTATACCTTGTCACGATTACAGGTGAAAGTCCAGAGCTTATTCTGACAGCGGAAGTGAATAAAACTCACATCACAGTGTGTTGACACTTCTGTCTACAGGCAATATAAGTTAACATTAGAATACAACAATAATAATTACATTTCACTTCCACTGACAATGTTCATTTCCAACAGTCTGATTAGGAGAACTTCTTCCCTTCACACCCCTACCTAATCAAATTTTATCATTTCCAACGTTAGTCATTGCGTACCCCGTAATTGCATGAAGCTCATATCCGTCCATTGTAGACAGACGTAATCAGCCGTCTGGTGGCCTGTAAATTACATAAAACATCATTTAACCGTCTACTACTAAAACGGAGTATGCATGAATGTCAGAATATAAAGACTCACTGGCGCATCCTGCATCGAAGTTCTTCCACTCTCTCTCCAAATTCACTAACATTTACAGTGTGCTTCGACCAGAGTCGTTCAGCCACGGCGGCACCTCTGGGCCTACATTTGTTACGGAGATCAGAGAATACAAAAATCTTTGTGAATACAGCAGAGGAAATCAAACTGTAATAAGTTCACATTTTGTCAGACATTGAAAATCATCTTGCATCATCTCCTGTAAAAGCCAGTTCTCTCTAACAATATTTGAAATTATTCCAGGAAAGAAACAAAATTGTCATTGAATTCCTGATCGAGTTTTTCACATAAAGATGAGTAAATGCTCCCTTAATTAAGGCGAAACTCCCACAGCTCGGAAATGTAACAGTGACTAGTGGCTGAAATTCTACTGTGACCGATTGTATATGGGACTCGGTTTTGTTCCTCATGAACGCATACTGATGATCACTTCTCAGCTATTCTCCGATTAGGAGAAATGCAGAGGAGTGACTGAAAAGATGAAAATTTACTGCTCCATGGAAAAGACACCGATACATATCTCCAAAGAAACTAACATCAAGACTAGGAATTATATCCAGTTATTCACTCACTTCACACTACCGATAAATCACAGCTTTCGGATAAGAAAACTACGTTCTATCGGGATAGAATGCATCAATAAAATGTGTACGACGTGATATTTAATCTAAGTAAGGGTCAAGTATCTCATTTTCTGATCACGCTGGTTCTAGTGATCAGCACATTCATCAGTGTTGGTCATCAAATTATCTGACAATTGCAATTTATTCTGAGTGGAACTAAAAACTTCTGCATTCACTAACTATCAACAGAACACTGGCTCCATGTAAGCTCAATTCAACTGAAACATTTCCAATAAACAGTCATTGATTTCAGTGAAATTTTTGAAAATTATTCACGAACGGTACTCACCAAGCCAGTGAGATCACATTGGTCTCATCCGCATGTGTGCTCCATATTTCAGCCTCACCACCAAGGACTTCTATTGATTCTGTGAGTGTGCCTGTAAACAATAGAACTAGTACTATTAACACAGAGAGAAAATAAGAGTGAATGAGGAGTAATCTAATCCACAAATTCAAATATTGGGAAACATTTATTTCCCAAAAAGAATTTGCGACAACCAACAGCTGTTAGTAAAGCAGGATTCAATGAATTCATCGAATATTTGTATATGTTGTAGAGAAAGGCGATTGTCTACTGGCATGATGGAGTATTTGTCAAGGTGATTGAAAATGGCTGAAGTCGAAGTGCCAAAAATTTGAATAACAAAACACCTTGTGGACTACGGATCTGTTATTAATGCTGTCTGTCATTCACCGTCGTCAGCAGGCAGACGGACAGGGAGATGCTTGAAATTGAGGATGCCTGTGCAATTTGAGTCTACAAACCAGGTCTGTGTGTACAAGAGAAAATGGTGGTCACTCTGAATCTACCATGGTAATATGTCTTACTTAGTAACTGTTATTATCATTATTATTAACAATTAGTCCCTTTTATAAATTTTGATAGCATTATTAGAAGACGGAGATTATCTGAAAATTGTGATGAATTTGTGCCATACATTTCGGTCAATCTGACCAGACATTTACTTGTTAAGTCAATATTTATGAAAAGGTTAAATTAAACAAAGTGACACAAAAAAGAAGTAAGAATTTGATTGCATTACCAAACGTTTGTGTTAATTATTCTTAATTTTTTTTGTCACTTTGTTTAATTTAACCTTTCCATAAATATTGACTTGACAAGTAAATGTCTGATCAGATTGTTCGAAATGTATGGCGCAAACACATCACATTTTTCAGATAATCTCCGTCTTCTAATAATGCTATCAAAATTATTATTAACGCTTTATTCCATACCTCATTTTGCGTTTTATTAGTATTCCTGAATCCTTTAAAACTGTCTTTTATCAGTGCCGTTATCTTAACACGTTTCAATACTATTGCTATTAACTTCACTATTATTGTCACTACTACTCAGTTCACATTTCTTGATGTATTCAAGTTCTTTCTCTGATGGTTAATTCCTTTTATCCTAATTTCAATCTCCAATAGTCCCTTTTTCTTATCTTATTTATTATTATTATTAATATTAATAATATTATTATTATTAAATAATAATAATAATTCAGTTTAGTTTATTTGCTTATCAGTCTGATATCTCCCTTAGTGATTCTAATGGTAGATTTATATACTTGTAGGTAAAGTATTCAGCTGATGAAGAGTTGTAACAAAATTTGATGAATTCATTAAATCCTGCTTCGTTGACTGTTTGAAATTCAAATATGTCAAGGACACTGGTGAACAAGGCCTATACTTATGCACTCCAAGTGGTTCTACATTTCTACATTCTGTGAAGTCGAAACTATAATTACTGGCAAATTTATAACAATAATAATAATAATTAGTGTACTCTAGTCGAAATATTACTGAGAATTTATCCATTAATTTACTCAGATTGGTATTGCTGCTGTTCTCCGAATGAGATGAGACAAATGAGTAATAACCAGGTCCTGCAGTAGGATTTTCCAAGTTAAACACTGGTAATTAGCATTTTATCAAGGCAGTATTTTGATGTCCAGGATATCATGTCATCACAAGACCAGTTTGTGCTCACGTGAGAATTGGTTGGCCTTATGTATGATTCTATTTTGATGTGGAAAAATATTTGTTCCACTGATTCCAACCACCTTTTATTGAATGACCACCATTGGAGTAGAAGAGTCGACTAGCTAGCTGTAACCACTGAGAATTAACGCTCATCTTAAAACTACCTCATAACACAGATATGTAAGATGAAATACAAAATAGAACCACTCGAGGAATATCCACACCTCAGATTGCTTGTTGAAATCATTCGCTTCAAATAACGTCTCAAATTAACTCACCTCCAAAATCTCTGATATTTTGTTCAAAATATCTACTCCAATCATCGTCATGTTGTAAGTCGTTTAGATTCCAAATACCAGAGATTATAACCGAGTGTCCATCTTCAGTAGCATTGAAGGTGTATTTCTTCCAATTATCACTCTTCCACACATGAATTATTGTACTTTGGTCATACTGTTAAACATCAAAATCAAACAGTTTTATCTCTATGAGTCTCATGTTTTCTAAAATGATAACAGTAATCTGAACAGTTTGAGACACTTCATACAACAGACTAAAGTATTCGATAAAACAGAGATTGTGGAAACAAGTTATGTGGGTGACTTAGATCTCTGCACCCATTTTTTGAAGATGTTCCAGACATTTGATTGCTGAATGGCATGAATTACATGAATTACAGGTTAGGTATGCCAAATCGCAAAGTGAAAATCACACACACACTTCTTTTCTGTCTCACCTCAGCGAATGTTTTGCTCTTCATTTATTCGATCATTTGATGCAGTATATTTTCAGTAGGACTTATAAAAGCAGATTACCTCACTGTCTATTTTACTAGCCGTTTTTAAAGACGTGCAGGAGAGAATGCTGGTTGGCGACTTGTAATTCCACCCAGTGGAAAACAGTCTCGCATCCAATGCACGTTCTGAGCTTGTAAACAACTTCTTCTTCTGTTCAATCGTGAATGATTCCTCAATTCGGAGGCGGTTAATCCTGGAGGATACAGGTATCTATGGAGACAGACAACAACGCCTCTTCTTTCGATATAAGGCAGAATATGCATAAACACATGGGGTCTGTGTAAAATGTTTGAGGCTGGCAGGGATGCTCAGTTTGCACAAGAAATGGCAAGATACTTTATTGTTTTGTTAGGATTTCGTGGGAGCTAGTTGACATTCCCAGTTATTTAATGAAGAGTGAATAACCGCCTCTGATCGTCTAGATGACAGCTACTAGGTTATTGAAAATACGGCTATCATGATTTCACCAATAGCAGCAATAACGTTTATGCAGTTGGACTTAATGTTCCGAAACAGGACTACAGCACGAATCACCTCGGTATGAAAAAAAGTTACGATTACATAATGTTGCACAACTAAAATCTACGCAGACTGAGAGAACAGAGAGGATTTCGACACTCAACTGAAAACAGTACTGAGTGAGACCCAGATGTCAGCGGAATTGATTTAGGTGATATGCCTGCTGTACTGGAAGTAAATAACAATTTTACAACCAAAAACAATTTTCGCTTTGTTCTGAATAATATGTTTATAGACAGTACAAAATTCCAAGCATGTTCTATGTACATTTTATACATAAATTTCAAGTGAAGTAGTGATCCAGACTATGTAATTCCACAGAGTAGTAATCGACCTGAATAACGCTGAATCGGAAAGCGTTGCTCCGTCAAAGAATGTCTACAGTCGTATTCAAGGGCACTCAGAAATTTGTATGAGTACGACGTATTGCTTTCTAAAGATAAAATCAGACGGCTACAACAAAAATCAACCAAGTAGATTAGACGCTTTATTCCCTTTGTGAGAGAATTTGTCACGGATTCCAGAGGCACTCGTTTAAATAAGTGAGAATGGGAACACTTTGCAGACATCTGAGCAGCCAACAATTTGTCGACTAGGTACGACTAGGATATTCACGAGATGACTTCAGTTCAACTATACGAAATATAATATTCACTTCATGCCAGTCTCTCAAAAATTGAGACGCAGCCCAGTGGAAACAAAACCAAGAAGAGGAGCAGACGTAAACTGAGTGCACTAACTTGTGTGGTTGAACATATTCAGAGTCAAGTTGAAAGGCTTCAAAGAAGCTGAAGACAGACCAGAGTTCAAGTGCAGTACTCAGGAACTGAAACAAACCAACGAAATACACCTTCCGGACAGTCATCTGGAAAAAATCCGACAGACTGAGCAACATCACCGGAGATGCATGCATGAAGAAACACTGGAATTCGCTGATTTATGGAATTAAGTGGTACACAAATGTGAAGGGATATTTTAGATGTCGGAGGGTGAAATACAGGAGATCATGTAAAGAATGGTTGAACCGTGATTTCTCTCAAATAATGTGTTAGCTAACAACGGTGTCGTCTTAGCTGATGGACAGTTAGTCCTAATATATAAATATAATGGATATATATATCACTAATTTCCCATGCTGAATCTATTTTCCTGACCATGTATTCCTTCTTATGGAAAGGTTAACAAGGGATATGCAATGGTTCTCTCATTTAAACAAACACTTGATTTTGTTTATCGCATAGGTATATTTTTCATATTCAGCTATCTATGAACATGAGCATTATTATTATTATTGTTCCCTTGGGTTCCTAGTGGAACATAGGGCTTCAACTGCACGTCTCCACTTGCTTCTGTCTTGTGCTGTACTTTTCACTTGCGTCCATGTTATTCCATACTGTTTCATCTCCTCCTCACACGATCTCCTCCATGTCACCCTTGGACGTCCCACTCGCCGCTTCCCTTTCGGGTTCCACTCGAGGGCTTGACGCGCGATGTCACTCAACGGCCTCCTCAGCGAGTGTCCAATCCATCTCCACTTTCTCCTGCATATTTGTTGAGCGATTGGTTCCTGTTTTGTTTGTTCCCATAGTTTCTTGTTGGTTCTTGTTCTTTCCGGCCATCTGATCTTCAGTATAGAGCCAGCGAAGACAGTTGTTGATAAAGGTCTGCAACAGGCTGTTGGAAATATTCTTTGTGACCCGCCAAGTTTCTGATCCGTATAGAATAACTGACTTGACGTTTGTATTGAGAAATCCGAATTTTGTTGTTGATGCTGAGTTGAGTGATGAAGACTTCCAGATTGGTTTCAGGTTGATGAATGTGTTTCTCGCCTTCCCGATTCTCGATTTGACATCCTCATCCGTTCCTCCTGTAGCTGAGACAATGCTCCCTAGATAAGTGAATGAAGTAACCTCTTTCAAATCCCTCCCGTTGATGGTGATTGGCGCTGGATGTTGCTGCTGCGGTTGTTGTCGTTGGTTGGTTATTTTCATAACCTCCGTCTTGTCTATGTTCACCTGGAGTCCTGTCTTTGCTGCTTCTTCGACCAGTTTGTCGGTTTTCGCTTGTAAGTCTTCAATTTTGTGTGACATCAAACATAAATCATTCACGCGCGAAATCCAGGTCTTCTAGATTCTTCACGTCGGTCCAGTATATCCCAGTCTTCTCGTTTCCCACTGTCTGACGTATAATCCAATCCACCACAATCAGGAATATCATTGGTGATAATAAGCACCCTTGTCTGACTCCTGTGTTTACTCCAAACGCTTCGCTGAGTTTTCCGTTGTGGATCACTTGACATGTGCCGTTGTCGTACAGTTGTTGAATAAGGTTGATGAATATTTGCGGTACGCCGTAGTACTCGAGTAGTTTCCAAACTACTTCGCGGTCAACGCTGTCGAAGGCCTTCTCAAAGTCTATGAAGTTGAGGTAGAGATTTGATTGCCATTCCATGCTTTGTTCGATAATAATGCGTAGCGTTGCCATTTGGTCAGAACATGATTCGCCTCTCGTGAATCCAGCTTGTTCTGGTCGGAGTTCTGTATCCAGTGTGTCCTTTGTTCTCTCCAGGATGATGCGACTCAGGATTTTACTTGGCGTCGACAGTAGCATGATTCCTCGCCAGTTCGTGCAGAGTCCTAGGTCGTCCTTTTTTGGTAGTTTCACGAGGTCACCTTTCCTCCAGCCAGTAAGCACCTTTCCCTCCTTCCAGATCTTTTGCAATAATGGAGTCAGCATATCTGCTGTCGTCTCTGGGTCAGCTTTCAGTGCTTCTGGGGGTATTCCATCTGGTCCAGCTGATTTTCCAGCTTTCAGAAGCTTTATTGCATTCATGACTTCAGTTTTCGTTGGAGGATTGGTGTCAACTTGCAGTTGTGTACGTGCTGTTGTTGGTATTACTGGACGGGTTGTAGGTGGTGGTCGGTTCAAGGGTCCTTTGAAGTGGTCCGCCCATTGTTTAATCTGTCTTTCTTCTTTGGTAATTGGGTTCCCTTGGCTGTCTTTTATAGGTTTCACTTGTGTTGATCTCTTCCCGGATAGAGACTTGGTTATCTGATATAATGTCCTCAGGTCCCTTTTCCCTGCTGCCTTCTCAGCTTCAGTAGTCAGGTTGTCGTAGAATTGTCTTTTGTCCTTCCTGGCACTCTTCTTCACTTCTTTGTCCAGTGCTGTGTAAGTTGAGTTCAGCGTCTCTTTCTCTTGTCCATCTTTGCATTGAATCATTTTTTCTTTCACCTTTCTCCTCTCCTCTATTAGCTTCCAAGTGTCTGTTGAGAGCCATTCCTTGTCTTGTTTCTTCTTTCTTCCTAAAACCGTTGAGCACGTTTCGTTGAAAATTACCTTCAGAGAGTTCCAATGGTCTTCCACGGATGGTTCCTCAGTGGTGCCTCGTAGTGTTTCCTGCTTTGCTCTGACAGTTGCAGTGAAAATGTCCTGTGTGATTGTGTCCTTCAGTTTATGCGTGTTGAACTTGCATTGTGGCCTATCCCCAGGTATCCTCGAGGCTTTCAGCTTCACCTTGAAAGTCCCTTGTACTAGATAGTGGTCTGAACCCACATCTGCTCCTCTCCTCGATCTTGTGTCCAGTAGGCTCCGTCTCCACTTCCTTGAGATTGAAATGAAGTCTATCTGGTTTTTGGTTTGTCCATCTGGTGAAATCCATGTGGCCTTGTATATATCCTTGTGTTTGAACATACTGCCACCAATCAACAATTCACTGAAGGCGTAGAAGCCTGAGAAGAGTTCACCATTTTCGTTCATTTCACCGAGGGCCTCATGACCCATGGTGAGTTCTCTTCCTGTATTGTCTCCTCCCAGTTTCGCATTCATATCACTCATCAGGATTTTGATACCGCTCTTTGGGACGTTGTCCATTACTGTTTGTAGTTGACTGTAGAAATCCTCCTTCTTCTCATGTTCTGAGGCGTTTGTAGGCGCGTAGCACTGAATGATTGTAACCTTTTTTCCTTTTGAGTTGAACCTGGCTGTCATTATCCTGGAGGAGATTGGTTCCCACTGCATGAGAGCTTTAGCCGCTGTTGGTGACATCATGATGGCTACTCCCTCGGTGTGCTCGTGATTGTCCTCTGGGTGAGCGGAGTAGAT